GTTTCTTTCCCTTGATTTACACAATTGGCGAACAATTACTAGCAAGCTAGAAATAGCCACAAATGTATGTTGTCGGTCAAGAGAACAAAACCCCTTAAAAAAATAACCAACCCATAGGCTAAGTTTACAATTTTCATCATGAATTATATCTATTTCCTAGTAACACACGTTTTGGATTAGATGCGCTCTATATTGATCTTAGTTGTCATAGTTTAAAATTAACTTCAGCAAAAAACTATAACAAAAAAAACAGTTTTAGTTATAATATTTTTTATTACATTATTTTGCGTTGTGGAAGAAAAAATAATTACGTCTATAATCATCTATTCAAACAAAGTGAATCTTAATAATAGCTTACCCATTAGTATTTTTATTTCGAAAAATAATTTCAATGAAAACTTGATAAAACATGGTTCATTTAACTTCCTTTGAAAAGGCGTTGAATCTTTTATATATTTTTTCCAAGTTCTTTCGTAACATTCCGTTAATTTTATTTTATCAATTGTTGAAAAGAAAGTGTAAGAGAAAGAGATCATCTTTAAATCTCCTAATTGTTCTGACTTGCAACGCCAACTAACCTTCCAGAAGATCTAGAAAACCATTTGAAAAGAACGCGAATAAGAAAGTTCAAAATACTTTGCATATGGTATACTATTCATTCTTTACATAACTGTTTTTTTAATACCTAGTTATGATAATAATTAATGGAGAAATTTTAAATCTCCTTGCATTTGAAATCCATTGTTTCTTTTTCTTAAATAATCGTAAAGATAAATTTTTGGTTAGCCTAATTAAGCCATAAGAGGTTATTTAAAGAAGCCTAAATTTGTATAACTTGAAACTCTAAGGGATAATTCGAAAACAGCTATAAGAGGTAACTTTAAAAAAATTAAAAAATACTAAAAGAATGAAAAAAATTTAGTCACATTTAATTATGAACGTCAAAAGCTCTTCGTATTAAACCACAGAACATCGTAAATATACATAAGGGCGACCTTTGTGCTGAAATACAAAGTAAGGTAAAACAACGTTTAAGAGCACAAAAAATATTTAAAATGCAGACAGCTGTTTCGGATTCTCAAAGGGCAACCTTCATCAGTGCAACAGAAAGAAATAAGAGAAAAAAATATTTTGTATTAAATTTTATATAAAAATATAAAATTTTTTGTGCTTTTAAACGTTGTTTTACCTTACTTTGCATAGAACATCTTGTTGTAGACTTAACTGTAATTCACAATAGTGATCAGCAATTTTTAAATTAATATTGCCAATAAACTATTGTTTAGTATTTACTTAAATGAGTTATTAAAAAGATGTGATTTTTTCCAGAAAGGTTTTAAACCACACAAATACTTTTTTACAAAATTGAAGATTTCTCAGTTTTAAGTTCCTTTACCTACCTTTTTTTTATCGAGACTTTAAATGAAACAAAATTAACAATGGAAAAAGGAATTAAGAAATTTTATTTGTGATGAAACTTGAAAATTATTTATGTTTAAAAATATTTTTCGAAACTCAAGTGCATGTGCATATCTTACAGTTACGAGATATGCTACTTAGATACTTTAATAACATCAGATAAAATTAAATTCAAATCACAAAATACTGTATGGAAATTGTTTGTATATTTATTTTATTTTTGGAGAAATTGTAAGTGAAAGAGGTAAGAAATATAACTTTAAATTAGCTCCATAAAAAGATAACTTCGTTCCTTAATATTTTGAAGTAAGCATAAGAAAATAAAGATCAAAATTAAATTCTGTTATAAGAGTTCAAATTATACAACAAAAAAATATACAAATGTATTTTCATCGAACAGTTTGAAAAATACATGAGTAAAATTTTCAATATTGCAGAAATAGTGCCAATTTCACAATCTGCGCCAAGCCAGCTCTTTTGCATAATTTCAAGAATCTTTCCCTGAAAAAGATATGATTTTATAAATGAGTTACTTCCTTTATAATTTTAAGACTAGAAATGGGTAGGTACCAATTCTTTGGTATCAGTTACAAAGTGATACTAGTTCAGTTAAGTACAAGAAAAAACCTATTATAAAAAACTTCTGACACTTTTAGTATTAAGTACACAAAAATCTTAATTTATTGAGGAGACGAAAATTCATTAAGTTAATCCATCAGTAGTTGAGTTAAATCTATTATAATACAAAATGAATTATTACAAAATGTATTTTAAGATGCATTCGTTTCGAATGCATATTAAATATTGTATGAAAAAATAAGCATGAAATCTCATATGTTTAGTGGGGAAAACAGAGAGGAGTTGAGAAGGTGATTTCGTGTTTTTTACAAACAGTTTGTTTGCTTGATGAATCTTGATGTGTTTCTAATAATCACCTTTCTTAACTCCTCTCTGTTTTCCCCAGTAATCATAAGAGATTTCATGTTTTTTATTAACAGTTTGTGATTATGATCCCGTTTTCGTCATCTACTTCAATCTACATCACTCACAACACAATATTTTTCATTAATATTGTTCACACTCCTCACTTTTTGTCCAAATCTAATTTGGACCCCTTATCTATATATATTTTTGATTTCATTTTTGACAGGGAAATAAAAATATATAAAGCTTATAAAATATGTAATATTACTAAAAACGTATAAAAATATACAATGAGCGTACAGCAAAGACAAACTGTATAATTTAATAGAAATTGAAATTGCATTTGTGTAGTAAAATATAAAGAAATTTAGAGTAGTATTTTAAAATAAAATTTAGTACAAAGTGATTTTGTCTCCATTGTTCAAGTCAAAGAACAATAAAGCATTATTCAGCAATCAAAGCACTATTATTTCTTAATTTCCTTTACAGTCAGAGCCATGTGCAGAAGTTCTAAAAATTTATAATCTGCTTTTTTCATAATTTCCACCAACTGTCGTTATCTTGCCTGTTTAAAATAATGTACTAAATTATAGTTTTTCACTGTGTAGATCAGGCTTAGTTGAAAAAAGTAGATCTGTAAATTGATAATTTAAGAATTTTTTTTAAAAAAATGAATCTTTTTAAAAGTAAAAATTAATTTTCCCCTCTAAAATTTAATGTATGGAACATTCTCACGGAAAGGTGATTTTTTAAGTCCCTGAGTAATAAATATTAGGAAATACAGCAGATTTCTTGATATTTTTCTCTATCATTTTTCGTGAAGTTCTTAACTAACAAATCATATGCATTTCTGCTAAATGTATTTAATATTTCATTCTTATTCTTTAATAAACATGACTTCAAAATCCCCTCCATGGACGTCCCAACGTCTGTGGCACAAAATAATTTTTAATGCCTGTTAAAGAATTTAAATGTTATTTTAATGATTTTTGTAGTTTTACCTAATTAAATGTTTATAGTAACTTTTTATTTAATACTTTAAAAAAATTATTTTTATAAAATAAATTATTAGTAAACTTTATCCATCAAAAATGATGTCTCCCTCCGTGGACAATTAATATAGTTCTGTAAATATGCAATAAAGGGCAGCATATGCGAAATCCCTATAAGACAGCTGGTGGGAGGGGTAACCATTCCATTTTCAAATGCTAAATATCAGTTGTTTTTGTTCTCTTTGGTGTCAGTTTTGGATTGTTGTGTTCAACTGGGGTTCGGCAAAGTTCTCACCATATACTCCGTGGACATCATAAAGAAGGTAAGAGAAAATTATTTTATTTTTGATCGAAGAATTTTAGATTGCAAAAATAGTATATTTAGCAAAAAGAACTGCCCCATTCTTGTAACTTTAAAATTAAAAATCAGAAAAATTCAAGAACTAGTTTTTGTCTCCTCCGTGGACGTCCCTTGCGTGGACATAACAAGTCCACGGAGGAGAAGACACAGTCAATGTAAGAGACAATGTGTTAGATAACCATAATACAATTTTAATAATTAAAAAACTATTTTCTTTTAATTGATATTTTTTAAAATGGAACCAATGCGTTAATTTGTTTCTTTTTTTAAAGAAAATCAATTAGGTTTAACTTTTTCTTATCGGAGAAGTAAATATTGGCAATTTTTCTAAATAATTTCTGTGATGTTTAACATTTTTTTTCTTTTCAAATTTTAGGAATAAATTGCAAAACCAAAATTTAAGAAAAGAAAGCAATCAAATGTTCGAATGCAAAAGAGAAGGGAACAGAAAACACTTAGCATGAAACAAGCTAGACAGATATTAAAAGAAAACCCTATATTGTTTGAAGAAAGTAAAAAAAAAAAGAAAAAAAAAGAGCAAGAAACTTTAAAATTTGTATCAGAAAAAAATTTAACAGGAAAATCGGGATTAAATGTACTTAAATTTCTATAAATTGAGAGAGCAAGCCGTTTGTGTCCAGGGAAAAAAGAAACAATAACAAGAAGAAAAGAGAAGAAACAAAAACGTTATTTGGATGACAGTATGTTTAACTTGCATAAAATGGTCACAAAAGAGTACCCTCAACACTCAACTTTCATGTGTAGTCTGAACTTTTATTTCAATAGTTCATTTTAATTTATTAATATTCAGTAAGAGTTACTTAAGAAATTGTACACCTAGGTTAAAAATGGATGTTTCCTTTCATAGCAGCATGATTAATCGGAAGTAGCTCTATCTCTAATAATGAAATATTTTATTATTTACTTATTAATGTTAAACTCATATCAGTTATGCCCAATAATTAATGAATTAGTCTTCATTGACATTTTATATTTTATAACATAAAATGTCTCCTCCGTTGACTATTACATCTCCTCCGTGGACAATGCAGAATTTAAAATATTTTAAATCTTGTAAAAAATAAAATAGAAAACTTGACCATTATTATAAGGACATATAACAAAAATAAAGGCATTTATACAATTTTTATTACTTTTTTAATTACTTTAATTTAAGATTTTTTTTAGTCTATTTATACCTTTTCAGTGAGAATGACCCGTATAATGGTCTAACAGATTTTCATGTCATATCATGTGTGAGAGACTTTCACGAAATTTTCTTGATAAATTCCTTTGTTCTGTAGTTACTATCCAGTAAAGAGAAGAAAGAACTTTTCTTTACACCTCGAATATAATCAAAAAATAGAAATCGAATAGTTCTCGAATAGAAATAAAAAATACACTTTGTTTACATCGAAAAGAATAACCAAGTTACTAACCACAGCTTTGTGAAAGAAACGTTTGTATCCACATTGTTGTTTAGTTTAATCAATAATCATTTTCGATAAAATTTCATTAGCCAATTTCGTGTTCTTTTATATCAATTCTGACCAAACAAGGGACGACATTATTTCTTTTTTGTTTGCTTTTAGAAAACTGATTGCAAATAGTTTCACATTTGGTTGATTGAACATGTCGGCAAAAGAAACTATTTCACAAATGTTTTCCACGGACAATTTTATAATCAATATTTGTGAGCACCGTCCTGTTAGGTTATTCACTTGATATTTATCAGCCACTAATAACAGTTTCAAAATTTTCTCGCAATCAGTATTGGTGATAGTGTCAGTATACAGAAACTCTAAAAATTGATGCAGAGTTTCACTTTCTACGTCTGGAATATCAACAACGCCAGTCTGAGTTTCCAACATATCTTGATCTTACATGGTGGCGAACACAGGAGATCGGGCCGACAGCAAGCATTTGTGGGCTGGTAAAAAGTGGTCACCAACCCGTAATTTCACGTCGGTATGTGTTTCACTTAATAACATATTTTTTAAATCTTGTTGCATCGATGATGAAGTCATTTTTCTCAGGGCATATTTATCACCATGATCATCAAACGAAGCACTTTCCATCGATTTCAAAACTCCACTGTAAGCAGAAATAACGCATATTAGATTGAACGAATAAGCTAAATGAGAACATGAATGAGCTGTAGTTTTCCACTTTTCTATCCAAGTCTCAAATCTTTGAGTGGACTCGAGTATATATTTTGGATCCTTAATGTCGATTTCCACTTCTTTATCATCTAGCACCATTATTTTCAGCTCATACAAATTAAAATCCCCTTCAATTGTTATGTAAATTCTTTCACTGGATTCGGATATCATTATGTCGAAATGAATATTTTCTTGAGGGGAAACTTTTAATTTCTCTGAAAAACTCGAAAGTTCAGGAATATTTATTTTCCATTTGAAGGAGCACATCTGTGTTTGAATGGCTGCATGATTGCTGCAAGTATGCTCTTCTTCGTGAGTTATATGACAACGCAGCATCAATTTGTCTCTCGCACCAATTTTTTCCATTCTTTTTCCTAGATATGAGAAAAAATTCTTATCCGAAATAAAAAAAATCGATAGCAGGTGATGAGAGTTTCGAAAATGTATATGATTCTTTTGCAATTTTGAAGGCAGTCCCATCCGAATTAACAACTTCTAACCTCAATGAAACCGATACATCTTTTACAGATTCGTCCAAATTATATCTCTCCAAGTGAATATTGATATGATCTGACAGAGGGGATCTCCTGCACATTTTTAAAGACCATTTGTTTCCTTGCACTATATCATCCTCAGCAATAGGACTCTCAATAGCTCTTGCACTCTTTAATATAAGTAATTGTGTACTGTCAATAGTCCAAATAAACGTGAATACTCCTTTAGTCTTGTTAGCCATAATTTAGAAAAAAGGATTCTAATATATGTTAATCTGATATTGATTATAAGTTGATGTAATTAGTTATTGAGTCGATAAAAATCAGTTATCTCTACTCATCGATATATCTATTCCTTTAACTGACACATCTAATGAACGAAAACTCCCGTTCTATCACACGGAACAGATTAAATGAGGATTTTCTTTTGAAAAGCTATGGAATCATATGAAACACTCCTTCAGTCACACGGAACACAAATTAAATGGATATTTTCTTTTAAAAACCTCTGGATTTGTATGGAACATACCTTCAGTCAAGCAAACCACAAATTAAATGGATATTTTCTCTCAAAAACCTCTGGAATTTTATGGAACACTCCTTCAGTCACGTGGAACACAAATTAAATGGGAATTTTCTTTTTACAATCTATGGAATTGTATAGAACACTCTTTCAGTCACGTGGAACACAAATTAAATGGGAATTTTCTTTTAAGAATCTATGGAATTGTATAGAACACTCCTTCAGTCACGTGGAACACAAATTAAATGGGAATTTTCTTTTAAGAATCTATGGAATTGTATAGAACACTCTTTCAGTCACGTGGAACACAAATTAAACGGTGATTTTCTTTTAAAAAGCTATAGAATCGTTTGTAACACTCCTTCAGTCACGCGGAACACAAATTAAGTGGTGATTTCCTTTTAAAAATGAGGATTTTTTTAAAAAAAAACCTATGGAATCGTATGGAACAGTCCTTTAGTCACGCAAACCACAGATTAAATGGGGATTTTCTTTTAAGAAGCTATGGAATCGTATGGAACACTCCTTCAGTCAAACATATGGAATCGATTGGAACACTCCTTCAGTCACAGGAAACAAAAATTAACTAGAGATTTTCTTTTAAAAAGTTATGGAATCGTATGGAACACTCTTTTAGTTACAAGGAGCGCAAATTAAATGAGGATTCTCCTTTAAAAATCTCTGGAATCGAAATTAATAACAGAATCGATAGTTTTTGATAGGTTTTAAAGTTCTTAATCGTAGTAACTGACTACTGATAGCACACCAGGTAGTCAGAGAAGCTTTTTCTCTCACTCTCAACATAAACTGTATGAGGATCGTTTTTTAGCAGTCTTCTAATCGAAATGAATGAAATTAGCAACTGAATCGATAACTGTTCCAAAAACCCTTAATAGGAGTAACTGATTACTGTTCGTTCATTTGGAAAACGAAAACTCTTCTGCAGTCACATGTAACATAAAATAAATACTTTAAATCATTCAATACCAATGGAATGAGAGTCCGGAAATAACGACGATAAAATAAATAATCTTTCAAAAACTCCTCATGTTCAAAGTCTAGAATTTATAACTATTTATCAATAGAAGAAAAGTAGCAATCGTTTTTGTGCTGTAATTCTATTTTTTTGCGTTTTATTTTCCATCCTCATGTGATGTATAAGATAAAGAATTACAAGATTTTGTGATTTCCTTTTAAATCTTTTTTTTCTTCCTGGTTTTCTTTGAATAAAGCTTCATTGCCGAAAAGATTTAGATTAATATTTTTAAACTATGATAAGTTGCTTAATTTAGTGGTTTTAATTTCTTTTTTTCAGCTAAGAAATCTTTTTCTTTGACAAAAGGAAATGCTTGTAGTATTTGGCTCACGCATAAATCAAATTGAGTAAAATGAGCTGAATTACAGTCTTTGAAAAAGAACTGTTATAAACTGGGTGAATGCCTATCAATGAAAAACAAATTTCTTTTGATTTTTTGATTTTTGACTTTCGATTTTTTTAAAATTTTAATATTCGATGAGAAATACTGATGTAATCAGTCGCAAATACATATTTTTTCAGCAATTTATTCAGTATATTGTTAATGGAAAAATATGTATATCTATTTCAAAATTCGCCTTTTTTTATTGAAATTTTACTTAATTAATTTCAATAACCTAACCAAAATATTAAAAAAAAAACTCTTATTGCTTGGATATAAACCTATTACAAGTTTAAAAAAAACTAACGAACTGCCTTTTCCGCGGAATACCTTCAGAGAATCCCTGGGTTATATCAGCTATACTAGAAGAAACAAGTTTAACGTTGAGTTATAATGTCTGTATATAGAACCACAATACGATGTTATTATCTTAAAAGATTAAGCGCGGTCCTCAAGTTCCCTCTTTAAGGTTTTAATTAGCTTCCTCTTCTAAAGAAGATTCTAACATTTTTCAGCTCAGTCTGTTTACGTCTTCAGACAATAACTGGATCAGGTCCGGTTGTAACGCTTTCGGTCTAGTTTACTGTAGAGAAATAATTGGTCGTGACGCTTTTGAATTCGATTATAGAACCAGACACAGTCCGTTCGTAATGCCATATTCATTAATAAGGTGTTCAATTGAGCTCCCTTTCCGTTCAGGTTTATCTACAGTAAAAAGTGGATAAACCTAAATAAAAAAATGTGATTTTACGAAGCACCATATTAGGTTGCAGAAAATTTAGAAGGGATCATGGTTTAACACTATAATATCATTCAATTTCAAAACGCACAGCTTTTAAAAGTGCTGTTTGTCTGTTTGTTACGGGTGCGTGATCATGCCTTATATCTTACCATTTATCTATATTATTAGTGAATGAAAATTGATTCACTGATATTTTGAAGCATGAGGAAGGCCACTTTTGCCATCAGAGCATTTTACTATGAAAAATTCGAGTGGTATGCGTGAAAACGAATTTTTATTAGGGCTAGCACTTAATATGTCATTTCAATGAAATATGGTTCTCGGATAATTTGAAGCATGGAGGGGGGCTACTTTCAACTCTGAAAAATTTGCGTTATATCTGTGAAAAACTAATTTTTCTCTTAGGGATAGCAATCAAATGTCAATTTAAGGTCATTCAAATCAAAAGCAATCAAATGTCATTCATAATTAATTTGGCTTACTGATATTATAAAGCACGAAGAATATCTTATTCTAAACGTTTGAGTGGTATTTGTGAAAGTGCGATTTTTTTCAAGATGTTAGCACCCAAATGTATACGTGGCGCATCCAGAAAGTAAACATCCCTATTTTTTTAAAGTAAAGAACCCCCACTTTCAGGAACATATTTATTGGCAACAAGTACAGCAATGTTTCAGCTATTTTTCAACATATCCACCACCTGAATTGAGACACTTGTCGTATCATGAGATCAAATTTTGTATCCCTCTATTGTAGCTCTCTGTCGCCTGTGAACGGAACCAGCGTGTGACAGACGTCTTCATCTCTTCGTCGTAGCCAAAACACACATCGGAGCACAGGAATTTCTTGAGGTGTAAGAAAACGTGAAAATCGCTGGGAGCAAGATCATTGTCATGGAGTAGGAGCACAAGACCTGCAGTAAGTATTCCACGCCTCTTGTTTTGAATGGCACGCCGCAATTTCCGCAGTGTTTCACAGCAGCGGTCAACGTTTACTGATTCTCCATGTGGATGGAAGTCAATGAGCAGAATACCCTTCCTGTCCCAGAACACAGTGCACTTCACTTTCCGTACCGACAGCGTCCAAAGCGTTGAATTTTGTGTTTGGGTGTCAGGTTTTTCGGCACACGCTGGTTCCATTCACATGCGGCAGAGTTCTACGATAGACGGATGCAAAAGTTGATCCCACGATACGACAAGTGTCTCAATTCTGGTGGTGGCTATGTTGAAAAATAGCTGAAACATTGTTGTATTTAAAACAACAATAAATATGTTCTTGAAAATGTGAGTTCTTTTTTTAAAAAAATAGGGAAACTTACTTTAAGAATGCACCTTGTAGAATAATTACATAGTTAATCTTAGCATAGATGCTTTTAAGTTTTGTGTAAACTTACGATTGAGGATAAGCATGATTGTTAGGAATTGAAAAATATTTCTAATATTTCTATTCATATATTAAAAAATGCCCCAAGAAAGTGTATTTTTTCAATGCGAAGTCAATAAGAAAAACAATACATTCATAACATTATTGAAAGTTATCTAAAAGGAAGATGCAGTGGTATTAATTTGATGTAAAACAAGAAACGCAGATTTGTAAAACCAAACTCTAACCCACACACCTTCTATAAATTTTTTTCCAAACGTTATAAAATTAATGAAAAGGACAATTAAAGGAAAAAAGAAGTTACGTATTAAGTGTCAGCTTATAAGCTATAATTACTATAATTTAATTACAGATAGGGTATATAATTATTAACTAAAATTTCTGTACCAGTCGAGTGGGCTTACAACAGGGTTAAAAACAGATACCTATAGTATTGATTCGCTCTGCTCACCAAAATAATTATAGTTACAATAATACCAAAAGTAATTAGATTTGAGAATTAATAAACTGTTTATCACTTAATGTGCTTTTTTTTACCTACTTACATTTTTTAGTTTAGAAAATCTTCATTCTATTCATCTGATTTTAATATATCATTATTATCAGTGTACATTTCACTGAGATCAATGAAACTTGTTTTAATTCAGTATTTGCAGAAGATTTTAAGTTCACTATGTGTAATAAATTGAAATTTATTATAGGTTTTTTTTTTCAATACTTTTAAAGATAGGTTATTTGTCTGTAGATGGCACCACTATGGTAAAGTTTAAATGCAATCATAATAATGATATTTTCTTTAGAAATTTTGAATTAGTCTTTGAAAATGGGATTTTTGGGGTGAAATCTATGTAACTAAATTTATTAATATTTATTGAGGATGGTATTATAACTTGTATAGGGTATTGGTGGATTTATGACGGTTTTTCTCAGGGACCTTTTTTTTTGGTTCTGACGTCCGCCGGATGCGGGATGACTCTGGACGTGGTAAACAGGTCAGTCTAGATTCTTTCGCCTTGTTGAAGGGAGGATAAAAGAGAAGCGACGAATGTGGCTAAAAGGCAGTACCAGTAGTAAGCAGTTGACCAGAGCAGTATCCTGGGGATACGGAGTTTGTCCGCTGAAGGAGTGGTTCGTGACAGTATCTCGGAGATGGTGGATCGTAACCTTAGGGAAAGCTAAACTGAAGTCTCTAGCGGGAAGGACTACCGGGATAAGCCAAAAGCCGATATCTTTGAGACGATGGGCCAAGTCCGAAGGAATCTATGCTGGACGTCCGGTGTCCCCCTTCTACATGCCTAAGTCGCTTGAAATTAGAATAGCTGGAGAAATTTCGAGATCCTAGCCGAGGAGTTTGTCCATGAGTTCATCTACCTTTCCGGTGGGCGGTTCCAGAGTGAAAGCAGTAAATTCCGTAGGGTACTTATAAAACTTTAGATTTTATTTCGTTAACATTTTCGAGGAATCATTTACCGTAAATTCAGAACTGTTATGGTGTTTTTTTTGTGTAGGAGAACAATCAGTATTTAAGTGTGATTTGTAGATATCATAAACCAAGTCTGTGTTTTTAGTAAGGTTAAATGCAGTTTTTATTTTATAAATTTCTTTTTTGAACTGTAGAAATTGAAGGTTATGCTTGAGTGTTTTAAGGTTGCATTTTTGTTTTAATTAATGTATAAATATTTATTCCCATGTTAACATTTGGAAATGTGTGAAATTATGTTTTTGAAGATTTAGAGGTGCAATAAAAATGAGTTTTAAATGTTGAAAGTTTTCTGTAATTCATTAGATATTTGTCTACTAAATAACCTGGGTAACCGTTAATAAATTTAAATTTTGAGATCACAGCCAAAGGGGTAACGGTACATATGTTAATTTTCTCATAACTTAAAACTGCTGGTAAAGATAATTCAAATTTGCATTTGAGATATTATATGATAATATTTCGTGTGAAATTTTCAGCATCTTAAAAAATACCACTGCGAAGATATTACAGATAAACCAATTATGACAAACCTCTAATCATCATATTTAAATTTAAATAACATAATTAAAAAAAAATCTGTATATAAACCATAACAATCTCAAGCTATATAACTATCATTATAATATTTTGATATCATTGATAATAGATTATTTTAAGCCTAAAAATTTAACTTTTTATATGTATATAACTGTATACTATGTAGACAGTAATTATTGAATTTTATTAAAATAAAAATTCGCTTATATTAGGTTTAAAGTTAGTAATATCATAATTTAACTCTGAAAGCCAAAAAACGAATTAATTTTATTACGTAACCCGGATATAAAATAACCATAATTTTCATATTACAAGTTGAATTTTATTCACTTGAGTTTTAAAAAGGACAGTCAATAATAAAAGTTTTGATGTTAATTTGTAACTGGAACATACACTCGTTCAGATTCAAATTTAACATGATGATATAAAAGCAATTTTTTCGTTCGAACTCTTTTTTAACTCTGAAAAATCAATTTCAACGTAAATAAATTGTCGTTACAAATTTAAATTAGTGCAAGCTATCATATTATATATTAGAGTTTAAGGCAGATTAACGAAGAATAAAGGATATAAAACCCCTCTTCGAAACAGCTGATTTATGCAATTTTAAATACTCGATATACGATAGAGTAGACTAGAAAATTTAAATTTTTAGTTAGTAACCAGTGGCAGGTAAACTCTAACTTGGCAGTCATTTTTTTCTTCAAAATAAATGAGTCTGTGAATTGATAGGTCCTTTGCACTTTAAACCACTTATTGCAAACTTTTTTTCGCTTGGATTAAAGTATCTTTTGAAAAAAAATATGCATTAGAAGAAATATACGGCCATAAAACGTTAAGAAATAAATAATACAGTATGTAATAATACCATTATATAATAATATAAGTGAAATAATAGTATAATAAAAGTTGCAAAAATACAAATATGTGACAAAATTGACCTTAAAATACTAACATACTGAAGAACTTTATGCAAAAATATTTGGGGAGGTGAAATACGTTTAACTTATAAGCTACAACCTTGTAAATTGTTAATAGCGCCTTTTCCACTTAAATCTCCCCCATCCCCCAAATTAATGGATTCTGAAAGATATGTATATATAAATAATGAGAGGAGACATTTTAATGAAAACTCGGTTTTACAGAGTCTCTTTCTACATTGTGACTATTGTATCATTAAATGATTTTTAGGAAAGAGCCCTAATGTTTATTTAAGTCGCATTTTTTTGTTAAATCACCAAGTGCTTATTTTCAGGACTAGTATAGAGATACTACTAAGATTAGGCGTGAGATGATAACTGATTTTCAAATATGAATTGTTAAAATGAACAGCGTAATTATAAAATTAACATTAATAACAAACATTGTAAATACTATTTTAATTTATATACCCTGTAAGTCCCCAGTATACAAATTTCAGTTAAATTTTTTTAAAATTACGAAGCATTACATATTTTATAATTGAAAAATGACTCACTTTAGTGAAATTTGCATTGCGTTTCGGTTCAAACATCAATCAACTTCGACAAAATTTCAATGGCTAATTTCATGTTCTTTCCCACCCACTCTGACCAAACAGGTGAGGAAATAATCTTCTTTTTGTTTTCCTTTATAAAATTAATTGCACACAATTTCAAATTCGGTTGATTGACCACATCAGAAACAGAAACCACTTCACAGACGTTCTCCAACGACAGTTTGGACATCAGTATTACTGAGCATCGTTTTTTCAAGTAATCCACTTGATATTTTTCAGCCACAAACATCAGTTTCAACAATTTCTCATAATCAATGTTGGTAATCGTATCAGTGTACAGAAACTCTAAAAATGATTGCAGAGTTTCACTTTCTACATCAGGAATATCAACAACGCCAGTCTGAGTTTCCAGCATATCTTGATCGAACATGGTGGAGAACACGGGAGATCGGACTGACAGCAAGCCTTTGTGAGCCGGTATGACCATGCCATGTGATCGCAGTTTAACGTCGCTATGCTTGTCATTCAATAGCATTTCTTTGAGATCTTCTTGCAGAGGTAAAAGAGAAACCATTGAACATGGAAAAGAATCATCCTGCGTCGAATTCGCAGCTCTTGAATCCAAATTTCCACCAGAAGTTATAATGGTACACACCAAAGTGAACGAATACGGTAAGTGAAAGCGTGATTTGTCCACAAGTTGACTTTTTTCTATCCAAGTCTCAAATTTCTGGTTTTCGACAGCTTTTTTTGGCAATTCACAATCTATTTTTCGATTTTCATCACTCAATATTGCGATTTTCAGTTTATAAGGATGTAACAAATCCACGTTCTCAATTTTTATGTTGATTCTTTCATGGGAAGCTTGCATAATAATAATATCTATATGAGTACATTCATGAAATGGAACTTTTACTTTCTTCGTCCAATTTTCAGGACCAGGAATATTTATTTTCCACTGTGTATGGATCACAGTCGGAATTTCCACCGTCATTTTTTGTTTTTTGTAGCTTGGGTCAATTATGTGGTAGCGGACAGTTAATGTCGGACGAGAGAGTTCCATCATTTCCCTATACTGAGTCAAAGAATTTCTATCTAGAAAACTGTAAACTTCACTGTAAGATCTTTTTGAAAAAGTGATATTTTCTTTCACGACTGATTTAAAAATCTTCCCACCTCTATCAATCAGTTCTAATTTATATGTTACTGATATATTTTCAGATTTTTCATCGTCATTTTGCCTGCATAGACAGCACGTAAAACAACCTCGAAATGATGATTGATATCTGTACACTCTTAAATACCATTTAGTTCCTTTCAATGTTTCAGCCTCAACTATGGAACTCGTTTTCTGATAATCACCCATTGTATTTATTAAATCAATGAGGTTACCGATTTCCCAAGTGAACGTAAACACTCCTTCAGTTTCGTTAGACATGATTAAAACCTTAATAATTTAAAAATTTACAGTGTTTGAAGCCTGAAATAAGTACTTTTTATTCCTTAAACGACAACATATATAATTCGTACCAAATATCAGCCTTTCATGAACTGATTACCTCTTCTCTTTCTGGTGATGCAGTTGCTACTATCATGTGACATATGCACGTGATAAGTTATCAACATTTTGAGATTTTTTTAAATATTTATCAAGTGACTTCCTCCGAAGGACGTTGAATTGACGAATTTCAAATACTAAATAATTTTTTACGAAACATGGAAGGTTCAATAATTATTCAAGGGAATTCAAGACTCAACAATTATCAATTTATATTTTGGAAAAACAATAGAATTTATTATCTTTCAAAGCGTAAAAAATGAATGCTATCTTAATGCAGACTAGAGATAAGAATTGGTTTCGTTCGTTTTCATGAATTGGTTAATAATTGAATACGTGAACCTTTTTTAAAAAAAGTTTAAAAAATTATACTTTATGGTATGATAGCGAAAACAGTTTTGCTCTTTTGCTTTTTTCATATTTATTTTTAAATTTTTTTATTTAAAAAAATACAGTAAAATTTTATTTAAAAACAAATCTTTTTTTTTCAACAAATGGCAACTTGGTTAATTTTATCTACAAATATATAATATACTGTAGGTAATCGATTTTATAATATAGCTCTGTCAGCTAAAACTTTATTTTTTACCTTTTGTTAATTTTAGATTTTTTTATTTTTAAAGAAATACGGTCAACTATTACTTAAAACCATGTTTTTCAACAAATCTCAACTTAATCAATTTGTTGCATGTAAAACATTTTGGCTACAAACATATAAGGCACTGGTAAGAAATTCATTTTATAATGTAACGACAACTAAATCTTTATTTTTTTTACATTTTTGTTGATATCTTTATATCTTTTGCTTTTTTTAAGAATAGCGCAAATATATTACATGAAACCATATTTTTCAAGTAATCGCAACTAGATCAATTTGTTGTACATTAAGAATTCAACTGCGAACATATTATACACTATTAACAATTAATTTTATAATATACTATTAACAAGCAATGTTTTACTTCACTGTTAACAATGAATTTTATAATACACTCTGAATTTCATACGTTTACTAAACTATATGGTCAATAAATCTTCCCAAAAGCACTTAAGTATGCTGTTTTCATTGATCAATAAAACGCTTTTATTGAAAACTCTTCTTCTATCCAGAAAAAAAGTTCCTAATCCATAAAACAGACCATCAGACTAGTTTTATTTATGATTCAAATAACTGGCCTCTAACTAAAAATGGAGAAAAAAAAAGCAGTTTTTGAAGAATAAGGTTCTGAAGAAGTTTTTTTTTGTGTGGCTAATTATTTAAATAAGATGGCCTCTGACGAAAACATTTTAACTCAGAAATTTATAAATATTTTTAAAGTGCCAGATATAATCAAGAATATTAAAATAAAATAGAAAAATTAAATTTACTTTTGATATTATCAGAAAGAATGGATTAAAAGAAGTTTTTTACTAATCGAAAAGAAGAAGGCCAAAACTATTGTGGCTCGATTCTGTGGTATCAGATTTTAAAGTGATTGGAAGAAAAGATTGACAGTCCAGGTCAAACAGAAGGCTGCCTTAGAGAAATATTCAGAGAAAGTCCTAGACCCACCCTGGAAAGTCATATGTCAAATATGATAGTAATGTGTGCTGTATTATAGCGTCATCTATATTTTAATAAAAACAATTTAATTGCTGATTTTAAAAATAAAATGGTCTTGATAAGTAAAAAAAGAAAGCCTTAGAAATGATATAAATTTATAAAAAATAAGTAACTCACTTTCATAAAAAGTTGTTTTGGTTTTAATCAGCAATCATTTTCATTAAAATTTCGTTAGCCAATTCCATATTCTTTTTCATCCAGTCTGACTAAACAGAGGATGAAATTATTTCTCGTTTATTTGCTCTTATGAAATCGAATGCAAAACGTTTTAGTTCTGGATGATTTACCATTTCAGCAACAGAAATTACATGGCAAATGTTTTCCACGCTCAATTTTGTGAACAGTATTTGTGAACATCGTTCTTTCAGTTCGTCAACTTGATATTTATCTGCCACTAACATCAGCTTCAAAACTTCCTCGCAATCGGTAACGGTTATCGTGTCAGTATACAGAAATTCTAAAAATGATTGCAGAGTATTACTTTCTGCATCTGGAATATCAACTACGCCAGTCTGAGTTTCCAACATATCTTGATCGAACATGGTGGAGAACACGGGAGATCGGGCTGACAGCAAGCCTTTGTGAGCAGCAATGATTTTATCATGCGTCTTCAATTTTACGTCGCTATGCTTGTCGTTTAATAACATTTTCTTAAGATCTTTTTGCAGAGTTAACGGAAAAGAATTTGAATTTGGAAAAGAATCATCGTGCTTCCAATGCTCAGCGCTTGAATCAGAATTTCCATCTGAAGAAGTAATGGAGCATACCAGAGTGAACGAATACGGTAAGTGAAAGCGTGATTTGTCCACAAGTTGACTTTTTTCAATCCAAGACTCAAATATCTGGTTTACGACGACTTTTTTTTGCAACTCACAATCTATTTTACGATTTTGATCACTCAATATTGAAATATTCATTTTATAAGGTCGTAACGAATCCACTTTTTCAATTTTTATGTTGATTTTTTCATCGGAAGAATGCATAATAATATCTATGTGAGTACATTCATGAAATGGAACTTTTACTTTCTTTGTCCAATTTTCAGGACCAAGAATATATATTTTCCACTGTGCATGGATTACATTCGGAATTTCCTCCATTATTAGTAGTTTTTTGTGGCTTTTTTCAACTATGTTGCAGCGGATAGTTACTATTGACTGAAGGAAAATGAGTTCCGGTATATTCCTGTACTGTTTCAGGGAATTACTGTCTAGAAAACTGTCAACTTCACTGCTAGATCTCTTTGAAAAAGTGATATTTTCCTTTACGACTGATTTTAAAATCTCTCCATACATATCAATCAATTCTAATTTATATGTTACTGATATATTTTCAGATTTGTCGTCGTCATTTAGCCTGCATAGACAACACGTAAAACAACCTGGAAGTGATAATTGATATCGGTACACTCTTAAATACCATTTAGTTCCTTTCAATGTTTTAGCCTCAACTACGGGACTGGTTTTCTCGTAGTAACTCGTTAGATTATATATATACTCGACGTAGCCAATTTTCAAGTCCAACTTAAATACTCCTTCAGTTTTGTTCGACATGATTCAAATTTAATATGAAAATTCACCGTTCTTCTCTGTGATAAACACTCCATGTATATAAAACTAAGCGAGATTGCTCTTGCCGCAAATTTGCCGCTCGTGAACTGATTATTTCTTCTTATCTGCTGACGTAGTTACTCATATCATGTAAAGGATGCACGTGATAAGATATCCCCATTCTAAGAGTTGTTTTTTATAATTTTTTTAACTGTTATCTGGTTTTTTTAAAATTTTATTTATTTTTTTTAATATTTTTTTTTAAATTTAAGCGACTTAAAACTCCTCATGCACCACAAAGTATAGCATGAGGCCTACAGTTGTAAGTAGAAAACAAAAGGAGAAAAATTTACAAATTTACATTAAAAACAAAATTCCGCAAGGCCGCAAGACTTTCAATACTTTTGACCAGTACTATCTGGTTTATAATTACATTCGGAGGAATAGTTTAATTTTTAAGATCTCTCATAATGATGTCACACATGAAGGGGAGAGATGGGGTTTTTAAAATTGTCACAGTTTTTGACAGGGGCACCGCGAATACATATTTTTGGAAGGGGGAAATTATGTCAATTGATGGCATACAGAACATTTTAACTACAAATATGTAATGCACTGTAGGTAATCGATTTTATACTATAGCTCTGACAGCTTAAACTTTATTTTTTACCTTTTGATAATTTTTGCTTCTTTCATTTTTAAAGAAATACGGTCAACTATTACATAAAACTAAGTTTTTCAACAAATCTCAACTTAATCAATTCGTTGCATATAAAACATTTTGGCATAATGCACTGGTAAGAAATTCATTTTCTAATGTAGCGACAACTAAATCTTTATT